TCTTGGGAATTTCATTAGGACTATTCACACATCCATGAATAATACCATCTTGCCTGATATGTAGGGAATAGTCAATAAATAACTGATAATTTAAGAGCATCCCAATTGGTGATAATATAAACAATATGTACAGCTGAGAGAGGTGTCAAAGGAATTTTACTGAATTTTAAATTAACTACAGATAACTGTATTCAGTGTTTAGTATATGTCAAGTTTGAAACTGACAAAATAAGAAGAACTGAAAAGGAGAAAGTACAAGAAGATCACAGGAAAATACAAAAGGATCAGCTAAATAATCTTTACTATTTTAGCTAGAGAGGAACCTACTGTGTTTAATTTCAAAAAACAAGAAACTTCCACTTATCAAACACAAATATATCAAAACAAAAACAGAACCCTGGCTTACTGATTAAGAAAATGGTGGGCATTACATTTTTTTTTTTTAAGATTTATTTATTTATTTTAAAGTCAGTGCTACACAGAGAGGGAGAGACAAAGATCTTCCAACCACTAGTTCAATCCTCTAATGGCCACATTGGCCACAATGGCTGGGGCTGGGCCAGCCAGGAGCTTCATCCAGGAACCCCATAAGGGTGGCAGAGACCTAAACACTTGGGCTATCTTCCACTGCTTTTTCCAGGCCATTGGCAGGGAGCTGGATCAGAAGCAGGTCCTACATCCTCAAATCCAGCCAGTTGTGGATTGAAAATATTTGGAAAAAAATACTTGTGTCTATATTGAGTGTGTACAGGCTTTTTTACTTGTCATTCTCTAAACAATATAGTGTAACAACTGTTTTCATAACATTTACATTGTGTGAGTGAATATATTATAGGTAATAGTGGGATGATTTTAAAGTCTACTAGAAGATGGGCATTAAGGTATATGCAGATACTGCACTGTTTGCTATAAGGGACTTGAGCATCTGCAGATTTTGGTACCCACAAGGCTCCTAGAACCAAGACCCCACACATACTAAGGGACAACTGTATATCTCTACCATGAGTTGGGAAACAAAGAACCTAGGAAAGTCCTCATAGAATTGAGAAGAGATTTTCTTCTGCCTACTTCCTTTAGGACTTTGTAGTCTCACATGCTTTATTTCCATTCAAGAATTATTAAAGGTTTATTCTTTGCTAGGCCTTGTATTAAGTCCTGCCTGAAATACCATACCTTTTTTTTTTTTTTTTTTTTTTTTTTTTTGGTTTTTTTTTTTTTTGGACAGGCAGAGTGGACAGTGAGAGAGAGAGAGACATACAGAGCGCACTGTGCTGATCCGAAGGCAGGAGCCAGGTGCTTCTCCTGGTCTCCCATGCAGGTGCAGGGCCCAAGCACTTGGGCCATCCTCCACTGCACTCCTGGGCCACGGCAGAGAGCTGGCCTGGAAGAGGGGCAACCGGGACAGGATCCGGTGCCCCTACTGGGATTAGAACCTGGGGTGCCGGCGCTGCAGGCGGAGGATTAGCCTATTGAGCCGCGGCGCCGGCCAAAATGCCATACCTTTTAATGAATGTATCTTCTTATTGGCAGAGAGAAACACACAATTCCAATATATTATAATGCCTTAGGGCAAGGGGTGCTATAATCCAGTATAAATGAAATGTTTTAGAAGGACAGAGAAGAAAGCAATTAATTCCCTTTTGTAGGGGTTAAGATTGAAGAAAAGAGTAGGAAGAGAGAATACAGAGAAGTTTCACAGAAAAAATTATAGTAGAATTAAGTATACGAAAATGAGCAGAATTTCTCTAGATAGATAAAAGAGTATTACAATTGGAAAAAATAACATGAGTAGAAGTTCACAAAGATGTAAAGAACCTAGCTTATTAGAGGATGGCATGCCATTTGTTATATAAGGATATATGAGACAACGTGGCTTGTTTTGAAGAGCTATAAATAGCTATACCAAGAGTATGATTTTATTTTACAGGTAGTGGGGAACCCCTAGAATTTTTAAGCATGGCAGTATGGTCATATTGACTTTTTGGGAATAAAACTGATGTTATAGAAGATTGAAGGCAAGGAGGCTAGTTAATTCAGGTGGCCACAAGCAGTAGGACAGCAGTATTACTAAGATGTCCAACAGATAATATCATAGTCTTTAAATTATCCTCTCTGGAGTTCTAGAATGCCTCAGGGACCACATAGAAAGGGCAAGGGTGGAAGTCTTTGTAATGCTTTGGGCCTTTAAGATTTTATCTGCTGTACACATTGGTCTTCTGAATATAATTTTAGCAGTCCATCGCCTTAACCACTCGGCCACCTCGTCCCACCTGAATATAATTTTAACTGAAAGAGTCCTATGGCTAGAAAGAAGTTTGAAAATCACGTACTAGCCTAACTGTTTTCTAGAATATCTCAGATATGCAATCCAGTAGCCTCTTGCAGAATGTTAGAGAGCTCACTGTCATAGGAGGAGTCAGTTCTGTTGTTAGTTTCCAATTGACCATGGAGTTCATCTACCTTGGAAATTAGTATGCATCTTTGGTTCTGCAGTTGCTGTTTTCTGTACCCAGTAAACATGACATTAACCTCCACAGAAATTTGCAGTTCTTTTTGTCCTTGTGACTAGAAGGAGTTTAAATATGGATGTACTAGCTTGCAATGCAGAATCAAAGGGTAGATAGTCAGAACTCTGAGTTTTCAAAAAAAAATTTTTAGGTGTTGATGTACATGAGTTGAAAATTTGTCAAATAATTAGGATAAAAATGTATAAATGCTCTTTTGGAATTTACTTCTAATAATTGAAAGATATTTGCTTTCTAATTCTAGGGATTTGTAGTTTGAAACTGACTTTGTGATTTAGCCAGCATCACAGGGTTTGGACCATATAGTTGCAGAAGTTTGCATGGTTCTGAATTGTGTTTCAGTCTGTTAGAAGTACTTACTGTTTAAAAATGATTTTTGTGTTTCTTTTTTGTTTCTCCAGCTACATTATTGAACAGGGAGTGTGTTATTTGGTTTTGTGTGAGGCTGCCTTTCCTAAGAAATTGGCTTTTGCCTACCTAGAAGATTTGCACTCAGAATTTGATGAACAGCATGGGAAGAAGGTGCCCACTGTGTCTAGACCTTACTCCTTTATTGAATTTGGTAAGTTTTTGACCCTGACTTGTCAAAAGGAAGCAAACGATATGAAGAAGCCATTTGTTACACTAACACAATATTGATGCATTTTTTTAAAATTTATTTATTTGAGAGATAGAGTTACAGACAGTGAGAGGGAGAGACAGAGAGAAAGGTCTTCCATCCGCTGGTTCACTCCCCAAATGGCCACAACAGCCGGAGCTGCTCTGACCTGAAGCCAGGAACCAGGAGCTTCTTCCGGGTCTCCCACGAGGTTGCAGGGACCCAAGGACTTGGACCATTCTCTACTGCTTTCCCAGGCCAAAGCAGAGAGCTGGATGGGAAGAAGAGCAGCTGGGACTAGAACCGGCACTGCAGGCGAGGGCATTAGCCGGCTGTGGCACAGCACCGGCCCCCCTATATATTAACATTGGGGTTCATTTTGTGGAGATCAGAATGCAGAAATCAGAAAGAATTATATTTTGCTTTTTACAGTAGAATAAGATCCTCTATTCAAAAAAAAAAAAAAAAAAAAACCCAGAAGATGGTGATGTCTGTTGTTCTCTCTAGGTTTCTTCTGCCTTTTAAATTAACAAGAAAAAAGGCCGGCGCCGCGGCTCACTAGGCTAATCCTCCGCCTAGCGGCGCCGGCACACCGGGTTCTAGTCCCGGTCGGGGCGCCGGATTCTGTCCCGGTTGCCCCTCTTCCAGGCCAGCCCTCTGCTGTGGCCAGGGAGTGCAGTGGAGGATGGCCCAGGTGCTTGGGCCCTGCACCCCATGGGAGACCAGGAAAAGCACCTGGCTCCTGGCTCCTGCCATCGGATCAGCGCGGTGCGCCGGCCGCAGCGCGCCGGCCGCGGCGGCCATTGGAGGGTGAACCAACGGCAAAGGAAGACCTTTCTCTCTGTCTCTCTCTCTCACTGTCCACTCTGCCTGTCAAAAAATAAAAAAAAAAAAAAATAAAAAAAAAAAAAATTAACAAGAAAAAAAAAAAAGGACTCATCACCAATAATACCTGGGTCAAGTAACTGATGGCAATAGATCACAGAAAATGTCTTAACTGTACTAAGTACAGGGAGTGAGAACAAGTAGGATCAGGCTACATCACAGAAAATTTTAGTTAAAAAAGAAATTAGTTATACTCCCTGACGTGTTTCAGGTTTGTTAGGTATATGGATCATTTGTTTTTCAGAAAGAGAAAATTTAGCAAAGTATTCTAGTTTTCTATAACTAAATTTTCCAAGTGCTAATTTATATTGTGTTCAGTTTTTCAAATTTTATTTTTTAGGTAATAATATAGTCCAGTAAAGCGAAGAAAAAAATTAGACAAATGCCCGAGGGAGAATGTAAGTGGTATATGCCAGTGACCATAAGGGAACTATATACAGAGATAAGAATGGGCTGTAGGGGATAGGGCCGGCACCGTGGCTCACTTGGTTAATCCGCACCTGGCTCCTGGCTTTGGATCGGTGCAGCGCCGGCCGTGGCGGCCATTTGGGGAATGAACCAATGGAAGAAAGACCTTTCTTTCTGTCTCTCTCTCTTACTGTCTAGCTCTATCTGTAAATTAAAAAAAAAAAAAAAAAAAAAGAATGGGCTGTAGGGGAATCCCAAGGTACCATGCACCTGTGGTTGTATTATCCGTAGACCTGAAGTTATAAGGGGAAGAACCAAATTCAGAAACTGAGGAGGAGAAAATTTACAGAGAAGGCCAGTTCGAGGGAAGCAGTAACTTTTGGCTTTGCCAGCCCAAAGTCACTTCTTAGGGAGGAGCCAGGAGCTCACTGTCTGCTCTCCTCCTTCCGTGCTGTTGGGACTTCCTCACTGTCTCTGAACCTAACTGAAGGCTAAGGGTGAGGAGCCCATTCAGGTCAGTTTCCCAGAAAGCAAAGTGGAAAAGAGTGGAGAGGAGATCTAAAGAGGCGGATAAAAGGTGCCCAGCCAGGCCAGCGCTGCCGTGCAGTGGGTTAAGCCATGACCTGCAGTGCCGGATTCCTGTTTGGGCGCTGGTTTGAGTCATGGCTGTTCTGCTTCTGGTCCTGCTCCCTGCTAATGTGCCTGGGAACAAACCAGGAAATGAACCCAAGCATTCCAATATGGAATGCAGGTGTCCCAACTGGCATTTTTTTTTTTCCAGGCAGAGTTAGTGAGAGAGAGAGAGACAGAGAGAGACTTATAGACAGTGAGAGAGAGACAGAGAGAAAGGTCTTCTTTCCGTTGGTTCACTCCCCTAATGGCTGCTACGGCCGGTGCTGTGCCGGTCTGAAGCCAGGAGCCAGGTGCTTCCTCCAAGTCTCCCATGGTGGTGCAGGGCCCAAGCACTTGGGCCATCCTCCACTGCACTCCTGGGCCACAGCAGAGAGCTGAACTGGAAGAGGAGCATCTGGGACTAGAACCCGGCACCCCAACTGGGACTAGAACTCAGGGTGCCAGCGCTGCAGGCGGAGGATTAGCCAAGTGAGCCACAGCGCCGGCCCAACTGGCATCTTAACCACTAGGCCGAATGATTGTCCTGCTTCTCACCTTTTTGGATGCTTATAAACTCATTTACCATATTAAGTTCAAATAATACTAGAGTGTTAGCAACCTTTCAGGGAAAGTGTAGAATTAAATAATGAAGCCCTAAGTATTCTCCAAATATAGTTTGAAAATTTCTGCTTTCAAGAAAGGCTTACTGTATTGGGTCTTAATTTTTTCTTTTTCTTTAGATTTTTTAAATTTATTTGAAAGACAGAGTTACAGAGAGAGGTAAAGACAGAGAGAGAGGTCTTCCATCCACTGGTTCACTCCTCAGATGGCTACAATGGCCGGAGCTGCGCAGATCCGAAGCCAGGAGCCAGGAGCTTCCTCCGGGTCTCACACGCAGGTACATGGGCCTGAGGACTTGGGCCATCTTCTACTGCTTTCCTAGGCCACAGCAGAGTGCTCGCTTCGGCAGCACATATACTAGGCCACAGCAGAGATCTGGATCGGAAGAGGAGCAGCCGGACTAGAACTGGCACCCATATGGGATGCCGGCACTTCAGGCCAGGGCTTTAACCTGCTGTTCCACAGCGCCGGGCCCATGGGTCTTAATTTTTCTGAGAATTCTGATAGAAGATACTTTGAATTCATAGTGTCCAAAGGACATTTTTTTCTGAATGGTCACCTGGTTCTATCTTTACATGGTACAAATGAGGAAGTTAAAGTCCAGATTTTGAGGTAGGTGTTGCAATGCAACAGCTTTAGCCACCACGTGGGATGCCCACATCCCATATTGGAATGCCTGGTTCAAGTTCTGGCTGCTTCACTTCCTATTCAGCTACCTGCTGCCTGGGAAAGCACTGGATGATAGCCCAAGTACTTGGAGCCTTGCCCTTGTGTGCAAGACCCAGATGGAGTTCTGGACTCTTAGCTTTGGTCTGACTGAGTCCAGTGGTTGCAGGCTTTTGAGGACTGAAAGAGCAGATAGAAGATGTCTCTGTCTCTGTCTCTTTTTCCCTCTCTCTGTCAATGTGTTTTACAGATAAACAAATACATAAAGACATCCTCTATCTGTCTTCCTATCTTTTATGATGAGGGGGGAAAAAAGTCAAGATTTTGATATTTCCCAGAGTTTGGTTAGCCATAGACAATGGCAGATCCAGAAATAAACTCAGAACATCCAGTTCTCTACTTCAGCACTTTGCTATACATGAGAGAAATTGTTAATGGTAACTTTCATCATCAATCTAGATACCTTCATTCAGAAAACCAAGAAGCTGTACATTGACAGTCGTGCTCGGAGAAACCTAGGCTCCATCAACACTGAATTGCAAGATGTGCAGAGGATCATGGTGGCCAATATTGAAGAAGTATTACAACGAGGAGAAGCACTCTCAGGTATCTAAGATTAAGATGAATCTTACAAAGAAGTAGTTATTCCATGAGCAAGGATAGTTCACTTTGCAATACCTTTTATGCTGTCAGATTCTATGTAGGACTATTAACAATTCGTGTCTCAAAAAATAGATTTTTACAAAGCTTCCAATCTGATTATTTTTCTCATAGCGTGATTAATAGTATAAAGTCCCAGCCATATTAAAAGTAATTATTCTTTCCAAGATATTTTCACAGTTAAGTAAATTATATACAGAATCATTTGCAGAGTTTATAGGAAATGAAAGGACGAATGAGAGGAAATTAACAAAGATACATTGCACTGGTTTTCTGGGTAGCCCTCATTGAGAGGCTTATTACTGCCAGATCAATCCTTATTAAATGCCATTTTTGTGAAAGCATTCGTCTGCTGAAAAACTTCTAAATATGAGATTACAGGATAATATACAATATGCTTTCAACTTTTCATTCATTTCTTTAGTTATTATATGCTTATAGTGTGTAAAGCATTGTGTTCTGTGAATAAGATGTTCTGGAAAATAAGGAGATGGCAAACATCCATCATTCTCCATAATTACCAAACATTCTACCTCAGCCAGGTCAGCGTACTCACATCCGTAATAGTCCGTACTTACCTCATGCTGGATCTGTTCTTTAAGACCTAGACAAGATCTGCCTTTCAAACAAGCCTTCCCTGATTCTTATAGCCTACATCACATTGATCTCTTCTGTACTTTAAAATACTAAAGTGATTAGTTATATAATTTTTAATCACATAATTGTATGCATATGTGTGTATTTAATTTTTAGCACATAATTGTATGCTTATGTGTGTATTTATTTACCTAATTCATCCTAAGTATACATACTGAATGTTTATGTTATCTATCACAGTATGTATTCCATACATTAATGTATTTTATATTTTTATGAATCTATAAATGTATTATATATATGCATTTTACAATTTTAAATTTTGATTTTAAAATTTATTTTATTTTACAATTATCTTTTAAAATTTAAAAATTGAAGATAATATATTTAAGGTAAATTAGGTAAAAATTAGGTAGTTTTACCTACACAAATTTTGAAATTATAGGTAATTAGGTTTTATGTATAAATTTACTTGATGTTTAAATGTCACCTAGGTATTTAATGTAGACATGTAAGCTCATTAAAGGTAGCCTTTATTTATATGTTTTATATCCATTTCATATATTTCTTTTGTATCCTTCACAGTAATGGTTACAGATAAGTTCCTTAATGAGTACTTCTTGAGTACAGTCTTGGTCACATATTTATTAGCTAATAGGTTTTCCTTTATTATGAACTAGAAACTTTTTGTTTTATTTTTAATTCATTTGAGAGGCAGAGAGACAGAAAGAGAGATAGAATCTCCCACTCATGCCGGTGCCGCAGCTCACTAGGCTAATCCTCCGCCTTGTGGTGCCGGCACACCAGGTTCTAGTCCCGGTCGGGGCGCCGGATTCTGTCCCAGTTGCCCCTCTTCCAGACCAGCTCTCTGCTGTGGCCAGGGAGTGCAGTGGAGGATGGCCCAAGTGCTTGGGCCCTGCACCCCATGGGAGACCAGGAGAAGTATCTGGCTCCTGCCATCGGATCAGCGCGGTGCGCCGGCCGCAGCGCTCCGGCCGTGGCGGCCATTGGAGGGCGAACCAACGGCAAAAGGAAGACCTTTCTCTCTGTCTCTCTCTCTCACTGTCCACTCTGCCTGTTAAAAAAAATTAAAAAAGAAAAAAGAAAAAGAAATCTCCCACTCATTTGATGAACTGCAAACTTTAAGCTTTATGTTAGTAGTCACCATTTATGCTAACATATCACTTCACTCTCTTTAAACAGCAAATTTTGAGTGAGTCTGTATAAGTTTTCAACATAATAAACCTCTTACCTAGGGTAAAATAGACCAGCATAGGAATTTTTCTTAAAGCTAAAATATATGTATTTGTCAGTTTATCAACAATGTAAAGGAATCTGTTTTAGTGCTTTGTTTGTCACAAAGCTGATTTGTTGATTGAAAAAAAAAGTACATTTCTACTCTTAAATTACTTTGGTTGGAAGATAAAGAAACATTCTCACAGAGTATTTAATAGTGTAAGGGCACAAACATTATCCAGCACTTACCTTTCATTTACCTTAATTAAATCTTTATAGTAATCTCATGTGAACTGGGTGATATCAAATCAGTTTTACTGTTTATATGGTTTACTAAAAGTCACACTGCTGATACCCACAGAACCTGTTGGCCTCTGGAATCCTGTTCTCTTTTTTGCATGATAATTTTAAAAGGATATATAACAGCTGCTGTGTAAAATAAAGGAATTAGATAAATTTGAAGTGAAGAGAAAACATTTCCTAAATTTAGGTAAATCAAGAAGGAATGGAGAGTGGTATTTTACGTGAAAGAAAAAGCATATCTGAGCAGAACACATGTGAAGGACAGTGAAGAGATCAGCCTACCAGAATCATGTTTTTTCCTCTTTAAGCTTCTTCCTAAACATCCATCTTTCTTCTGTCTCTAATTTCTAGTTTTAGAGCTAGTCTAACTTTGTATTTAAGATCCATGAGTAGTTCCTTGCAGGTTCTTTGAACAAGATCAGATTATACCCATTTTGGCTGCCTAAATAAACCTGTTTCTTTGAAGTAGTGAGTTTTGTTTTCTCATTTAAAGGTGTCACCTCTACAAAACTCAATTCTCCAAAAGCAAGAATCATGTACATATGATCATTATTATATCTTCTAGCTCTTCACATGGTGTCTATACCATAAATACTTGTTTAATTGACGCTAAGCAATAGCTTTATCTTTTTTAAAAAATATTTATTTATTTATTTGAAAGACAGAGTTACAGAGAGGCAGAGGCAGAGAGAGAGGGAGAAAAGGGGAGAGAGAGAGAGAGAGAAAGAAAGAGAGATGTCTTCCATCCACTGGTTCACACTCCCCAAGTGGTCACAATGGCCGGAGCTGAGTTGATCCGAAGCCAAGAACCAGGAGCTTCCTCTGGGTCTCCCAGGTGGGTGCAGGGGCCCAAGGACTTGGGCCATCTTCTACTCTGCCAGGCCGTAGCAGAGAGCTGGATCAGAAGTGGAGCAGCCAGAACTCAAACCGGTGCCCATAGGGGATGCCAGCACTATAGGCAGCTGCTTTACCCAATACACCAGGCACCAGCCCCAATAGCTTTGTCTTTATGGTATCTTGTACTTCAAAAGGTTCTTATATTGAAGAAGTCTCTTATTTCAAATAGCCTACTAACTGCTACTCTGCCCAGTTATTCTCAGCAGATTTAGAGTCATTCAGCACTAGGTCCTGTTCTAGGCAATTGTGATATAGCAGTAAACACGGTAGTTAAAAGTCACTATTGAGTGCAATATACTTTCTGGTATACCAGCTAGAAATATTGTTAAGCATTATCATGGTTATTTCTCTCACCTGTTTTCTTTCATGACTAGATGTTTTTCTTATTCATATAAGTAGTTGTTAATTTAGATGTGGCTGACGTGTCAGTAGTATTAAGTAATACCACATTTCTCAACAAAACCACTGTTTATTGAGCAACTCCAGATATTCCAAGAGCATTCTGTAAGGAAGAGCAAACAAATTCAGATTACAAAATAGTTCTCTGAAAACTTAAAAAAATGAAGTTTGAGTAAAATGTAAAAATGAGAAGTTCTGGTATTAAAATATGCTGAGTATTTTCATATGATCTAGTTTGTCTCTATCTGGCACTTTTTCTAAGAGCTCAGCTAATAATTATATGAAGGTAACATAAATATCCTTGAAGAAAAGAAAATGAGCTTTGCAGAAAATGCTAAAAAGCTTAATTTACAGGGGCCAATGTGGCTTAGTGAGTAAAGCCACCACCTGTGATGCTGGCATCCCATATGGGTGCTGGTTTGTGTACCAGCTGCTCCACTTGCCATCCAGCTTCCTGCTAACAGCCTGGGAGGGGCAGTGGAGCATGGCCCAAATATTTGGGCCCCTGCTATCTTTGTGGGAGACCTGAATAAAGCTCCTGGCTCCTGGCAGCAGCCTGACTCAGCCCTGGCTATTGAAGCCATCTGTGGGGTGAACCAGTGTATGGAAGATCTCTTTGTCTCTCCTTCTCTCTGTAACTCTGCCTTTCAAATAAATTTAAAAAATAAAAGCAGCAGCTTAATTTACTAGAAATTGGTGGGTTTTTAGTACTCATTGTAATTTAGTTACGTGACAACTTTCCTATATCTGTTGAATTGTAATTTCTGATAGTCTTAACTTCACAACAGTCTTTTTTCTGTGGAGTCTTGGAAATTTTAGTGATCACCATTGAAATATAGCTTAATACTCAGACTGGTTAATTGTATTTTCTGATTATCTGAGTCTTATCTTACACAGATTATCACTTTTCAAAATATGAGAAAATGTGGGTTAAATTAAAATATGAAGATAATAATAATTAGAAAAACATGACCCAGTATCTATCAAACGTTTCTTGTATGCAGGCATGGTGCTAACTTCACAGGCAGCCTCATGTACTTGTGATCTTACGATGTAGTTCCTGTTATTATCCCCATTTTGGAGATCAAGAAACTGGGCCAGAGGTTAAATGACTTGGCCAGTTTCATGTGGTTGGTACAGATGATTTTGAACGAAAGTCTGAGGCCAGAGCCTGCACTGCTGACTACCTCACTGTACAACCTCAAGAAATTGGATACAATTTGACATGATAATTTTTAAATGTATGTTTTACAGTGCTTTAGGATCATAAATTAATAAGTATATGCAAACAACTTACCCTTAGCCCTTAGAGTAAAAATGATCATTTAAAGCCTTTTATGCTTTTGTTAGAATACTTCCAGTTACTAATTACTGTTTTCCTTTTTGCCCTTTGACAGCATTGGATTCAAAGGCTAACAATTTGTCCAGTCTGTCGAAGAAATACCGCCAGGATGCGAAGTACTTGAACATGCGTTCCACTTACGCCAAACTTGCAGCAGTAGCTGTATTTTTCATCATGTTAATAGTGTATGTGCGATTCTGGTGGCTGTGAAGTAGTGAATCCAGTCACTGGTAAGGGAGAACCTAGAATCCAGCAGGTGTGTGTTTTCAGGAAGCTGAGCTCACAGGGATGTATATTAGAATCCAAGTGGAACTTCTGCCTCAAAAGACCTTGCAAGAAAAGACATGTCCTGAAAATGAAAGGTTACACCTCATTTAATGAAGCTTAACCCTAAGTAGAAAGTCTCTTTTGGGGGCAGAGTCTTTCTCTGGGTGCTAAGCCATGTACGTTAGGGAACAGTAGGTTGTTTCATGTTGTTTTTTCCCTCCCAGTTCATTCTTAAAACAGCACTGACTGGGGCATTCTCATTCTCTAATGAAGCCATCAGTGAGATTTAGCGTAGCCAGCCTGTGCTAGCAACATTCTGAACTTCCTTCAAAGAAGGCAGCCCTAATTTAGGAAGTTTTCTGACTCTAATCAACATTCCTTTTGTTGGTGACATTTGTGACTTTCAGTAATCAGAGCTGTGGAAGGCCTTTCGAACAAGACTCCACTATGTGAAGGTTAATTGCTGTGCTGCACAGATCTTGTCTATCGGCCCCTGTGGGAAGTTAACCTTTGTTGTTTTCCTTTTATGATATTTTGCTTATTGCACAATTGCTCTAGGGTTAAGTGAATTATATTAAGAAGCCTTGAAATTATAATATAGTATTCCTTGATTAAGAAGCTAAAATGTTTTCTCTCATTTACTTCTTAAACAAAAACTTAAATTAACTTGGGACATTACTTTATTTTGCAACATCTGGTTTTCTATTAATATAAGAGTGAGGATGGCATAGCCAGAGGCCTATGGCTTAGTGAGAAGAAAGGTATAGCTTATAACTATAGCTTCATTCTGCTCCTTTACTCAACTTCCTCTGCAGCAGTTACCCCTGCTCTTGGTTTTCCTCCTGCCACAATTTGCTAACAATTTTTAAATTCTCTTGTGCCCAGTAATTTCATGTCTTATCAACATCCTCTCAGGATATTTTCAAATTTCAAAATAGAAAATATTCAGGTATACCTTAATTAAGTCTAAACTTTTTGAAGATCAAATACTCGAACTGCTAAGTACCTTTATCTGAGGACGTCTCTGAGAGCACATCATTCCTGTTGCAGTTCATGTACATACTCTGAGAATGTTCTAGGGAAAGATAACTCATTCACAGTAGCTCTTGTTAACTAATAAAAGCACCTATGATTTTTCCCTTTTTTGCTCAGGGATGATGAGAATTTACTTTTACCTTCTGAGGTGGAATTTTTTAAATGGGGAGAATAGGCCTTTTAAATAATTATCAAAAGGGTCTGCAGTACACCCTACAACTCTTGCACATACTGCAAATATTCCTTTGAATTATACAGGAAAAAGAGCCAACTTCTTATTTCTTACCATCTTTGGAAAAAAACTTTAACCAACAGGCAATTTTATAACCCTAAGAAATCATCAAAATACTGTCTTAATTGCTGGTAGAGAAAAAAAAATTCTTATTTCTTTATCACAAGGCAAGGAGAATGCTTATTTTATTCCTGATAATTCACAAAACCAGAATTAATTTTTTTTCTTTCTATTATGAACCTTAATCTGCCAATTGGAATTTTATGCATGAAATACGAAGTTAACTTTTATAGACAATAAGTGCTTTTAAGTCTGTAGAAGGCTCATTCCTCAGTAATGATATTGATTATAAAAACCTTTTTGAAAGGCTGGAAACTGAGTAGTACCACAGCATTTGGTGCTTCTATAGAAGTGGAGAGCAGCTCATTGTTGAGAGTTGCATGCTGCATCCTAATGATCAGCAATGAAATAAATACTTCTAGAATGTTCCATCAAGTGTGAAGTTGTGTTAACTAGTTCCTTATGTATATGTATCTTTTTAGGTATATTTGTTTCTTAGTGGGCTAACTATCAAAGGAGTAGAATAAATGATGAAAAAAAGTCCAGAAAATGGGTTAAGATCAGAGCAGTAGAAAAATGAGAGAATAAGATTGTGATAATACAGTTCCCACTTCTGTTCTTAATAGGAGATAGTGGGAAATCTGATTAGCTGAATATATTAGCAACCAAATAAGCGTCTAAAATAGATGGGGTCATTTGAGGCACATAAAGGAAAGATACCTAATTTATTTTGGGAAGGAGTGTAGTAAGGAAACTTTCTAGAGGAGGAAAAAGGAGCATTCCAGGCAGAATTCAGTGGCTTACACAAAGGCCTGAGTAAAGAGAATGAGGCATATTTTGGGATGTAACATTTTGGTTCAGTTTAACTCATAAGGATAATCAGGCAACTGAGGAGAGGTGAGGAAGGAGAACCAGACTAGTACACTATCATAAAGGGATTTCAGTACCATGCTAAGGAGTTTGTTTAATTGCTATAGCACAGGATGGCATCAGATTTATAGCTTCAACTGATTTTGGCTATAGTATATAAGATACGTTAGAAAGCGATAATCTTGGAAGTAGGGAGATGAAACTCAGCAGCCATCAAAGGCAGAATAGAACAAATTTCAACTGATGTTTAAGAGAGGAGTGATCAGAGGTACCAGATAATACCTGTTGCATACAACATAACTCCTTTCTTTTTGGGGAGCTTACTTAGTTCTCTGATACAGCAAACTTTTTGACATAAGTACTGTTGACACTGTTTCATGGGTAAAGAAGCTTTACAAAGGATAGCACTCTGAGGCACAGAAGAGTAAAGTAATTTGCTCAGTCAGAAAGCTAGAAAGTTGATGGAGCTAAGATTTGGTCCCAGACCATTTGGCTCCACAAAACTGATTTTCATCACTGACTATACCACCAAGAAGTCAAAGTAAGTACCAAAAAAGCATTTTGAATTTAGCAGCCAGGAACTTAATCAGACCAGCAGAAATAATTCCAGAGAGCTGAGGACAGAAGCCAGATTTCAGTGGGTTGAGGAGGATGTGAACCAGGAAGTGAAGATGGAGAACAACTCACACAAGTCACCTTTCTGCTTATTGTGACACTGCTAAGCTTCATGGCTTGTTACAATTAAGACATCTCACAGATATAAAAATGAAAAATATTTAGCATATTGTACACACATCTGGCTTTTTAAATGCAGTGGTTTTTAAGCTTTTTTGTTTTTTGAGAAACCTTTGAAAATCTGTTGAAAACTATATGCCTTTACCCCAGAAAAATGTTCATCTGTGTGTGCATACCACGTATCACATACTGTTTCAGGGTATTCAAGAATCACAGTGTGTTGATGGCCTACTAGTTGATGAGCCCTCAGTTAACCCCAGATGTATAGCATGTGGAACTTAAAGGTAGGTACCCAGAAGCCTTGGAAACTGTCCAGCTGTGGTGAATTGGACGAATTCTACAGTTTGAACTAACTTTGTGGTTGAGATATGTTCTTGAAAAATTGTGTGTACAAAAATAACTCAAGTACATTTTCTTATAGTGCATTCAGGGTCCTGGTTCTACAGAAAGAAAAAAATTGTGGTCCCAGTTCCTCAAAAATCATATTTTAAGGAACTTGAACTTTGTATTTTCTATTTATTTATATTTATCAATAAGAAATCTTCTTACAAAAGTAAGTTAGGAAAGAAAGTGGGTAATCATTTTTGTACACAAGGGATTTAATGAAGCATATATAATTAAATTTCTACTTTATTAGGAGTTGTCACAGCTTGAACGCTGGTAGCTGTGCAGTTAAGCTTTTGGTTAGTGTATTTAGCAGAACTGGCTGAGTCTGGTTTAGTGGTTTTATTCCAGGCAGCACAGTGAAAAGACAAATAGCAGTGGGTATAGAGATGTTACCACTTCTATAATTGTGGATTAACCGGTTGGACCAAATAGTTTGTATTGTAAAGGACCCCAAAGAAAAGTTTGCAGCATGTATGACATAGTTTGACATAGAAAGAACAAATAGGATCTCATACCCTACTCTAATTCATTACTCTGTGGCAGATTTGACCCAACAATATCTTAAGGAATTTAGTCACTCAGTTCTACAAACTAATAAAGTTTACTGCAAGTGCTGTAATCATGGTTTTTTTAATTAGGAGATAATTGAAATTTTTGTTTCCATATAGTAGTCTTGACTGGACTTTTTTTTTCACTCACAACTTTAATTTACTGAGCACCAAATAATAGGAATTTATTATTACAGTCCTTCCTTATAACTTTTCTGTGCTTGCCAAAGGTCACTTAGCAGATTTGCTCTAGTGATCATAAAGTTGCCCTTTCCCACCCTTGCTTTGAAATACATCTCTGTTATTTTATTTGTCCCTTTTTTGTTTGATCTCAATGTTAATTCAGCCATTTTCACACCTGAATCACTAGCAAAGTAGTGTTTTTAGAAGAAATCACCCCAATTTTTATGTCCTTTTGCCATGCTCTTTACTCCCCTCATTTTTATCACTTTCTGTTTTTCTTTTCAATTTTTCTAGTTGCTATTTTTTATGTAATGCTGCAGATTTGCTTCTATAAATGAGCTTCAAAATCAGTTGACTCCCATATTTACTGTTTCTTTTTAAGCCTTTATCTTACCTTTGATTTTTATAATATATTCTTTCATTTTATTCAGCATATAATCAACAAAGGTATTTTTTTGCTCCGAGGAATCCATTCCTAAAAAAATTCACAGTTTTGCAAGAATTCTTCAAGAAATAAAGTCCTCTGATTTGTCTTCTGTATTTAAAACTTCAACTATTAACTGAGTTACTGATGATTTCCATATACACCTGTTTGTTTGTTTTTTTTTTTTTGACAGGCAGAGTTAGAGACAGAAAGGTCTTCCTTTTCCATTGGTTCACCCCCCAAATGGCCGCAATGGTGGCCGGCACGCTGTGGCTGGCGCGCTGCGCCAATCCAAAGCCAGAAGCCAGGTGCTTCCTCCTGGTCTCCCATGTGGGTGCAGGGCCCAAGGACCTGGGCCATCCTCCACTGCCTTCCTGGACCACAGCAGAGAGCTGGACTGGAAAAAGGAGCAACCGGGACAGAATCCGGCACCCCCACCGGGACTAGAACCCGGGGTGCCGGTGCCGCAGGCGGGGGATTAGCCTAGTGAGCCGCGGTGCTGGCCCATATACACCTGTTTTCAAATTTGAATTTAAGAGTCCAGTTTTTTCCTGCTTATGGGATATCTGGTTTATTTTTAAAGTTACTTTTATTTATTTGAAAAGTAGACAGACAAGCAGAAATCTTCCATGTATTGATTCATTCCCAAAATGTCCACAACAAGCAAGGCTAGGTGAAGCTGAAGCCAGGAAACTGGAATTCAGTCAGTGTGTCCCTTGTGGGTGGTGGAGACCCAGCTACCCAAGGCGTCACCTGCTTCATGAGCCGCCAGCTGGAAGGTGGAGCAGTGACATGACTCAGATCCAGGCACTCTGAAATGGGATGTGGGCATCTCAAGCAGCTGCTTAAACACTCTGCCAGATGCTTGCTCTGGACATCTGTTTTCAATATCCTGTAAATACTTCACTGCAAAATGGTACCCCATTCTTTTGTTCTCAACCTAACTTGTGCTTCACACTGTATTTCTAAATTTTGGGCATCACTGCCACCCCTTTACCTGAACTGCAAATCATGAATTACATTTGGCTCTTTTGTTTTCTTCCAGCTCTAACTCAACTGTTAACTGAAACTTGATTGTCATAGCCTGCAAAATATTTCTCATCCATCACTTTATTTCCTTGAGTTCAAGCACTCATTAAGTTTAACACAGCTTCCTTACTGCTTTCTTTATAAATGTCCCTCTTTGTTCCCAGGATAAGTAATATCAGACATTTAAGGTAACCATACAACAATTCTCATGGAATAAATGATAACATACTTAATGGTCACCATTCACAGTCAGGCCTCATTGTAGTATTCTAGACTCATCTGCCATTCCCTACCACATGGATTTGTTTTAGCCACAGTAGATAGTCTAGGCGTCCTTAATCAGTAAAGCATGTTACATGGTGCTTTGGCTCATTTTGTGCCTTCTCTCCAGAATATGTTTTGGTTTACCTTATCCCCAGCTCTCCCCTCTGAACCTGCTAGCATTCTGTTCATCTCTCAAAGACCCAACTCAAGTGACTCCCTAAGCCTTTCTCATGTTTTGACACCCTTCCGACTGACCTGGGATAACTTACATTTTCATCATCTCACAGCCACTTGTAGCATAGAACCTACCAATTTAAAATAGCTGTCAGTACATACTTGTTTGTCTTCCTGGCTATATGCTGTTTGAGGTCCCTGAGGGTAGAGGCTAATTGTTAGTTGTTTGTCTTTGAATCCTTGGCACTCAGAACAGTGTCTGACACTTTGGAAATACTCAGCAAATATTTGCAGGATAAGTGCATTGGAGTTCAAAAATGTGTACATAAGGTTTTTTTTGAACTGAGGTCTCTAAGTCATGGATGTAGTACACAGAATGAAATGAGAAAACGAAAGGGTAAAATTGTGTCAAATAAATAGGAAAAGAAAGAGGCACATTCAAAAGAAGGCAGAGCAAGGTGAGTATTTGGTGCACCAGTTAAGATGCTGTTTGAAACGCCTGTGTCCCATAACAGAGCACCTGGGTTCGAGTCTGGCTTCCTGCTAATACACCCCTTGGGAGACAGCAGATGATGGCTGCAGTACATGGGTCCGTGCCAGCCACCTGGGAGGCCCAGATTGAGTTCCCAGCTTCTGACCTGGTCCTGGCCCAGGCTTGTTTGTTGCAGGCACTTAGGAAGTGAACCAAGTAGATTGGAGATGTCTCTGTCTTGCCTCCTTTAAATTAAATAAAAACAACAACAACAACAACAAAAAATAACACAAGAGGAACAATAAGATCGTATCTGTATTCGTGAGGGTACCTCAGAAAGTTC